CCAACTTGTGGCCACTTCTAGGGTGGGAGCCTCTGGCAGCTGGAGAACAGCTGGCCCGTTGTGGGAGTGGGTGGGGGAGGAGAGAGGAAAAGGCAAAGCGGGTGGGAGGCTCCCTTAGCCCTCCTCAGCTGCCCTCCCTATCCTCTACCTCCTGGCAGGTCAGCCTGGCCTAGGTGGCCTAAGTTTGAGGGCAGAGATTTGGGAGAAAACTGCTGATTCCACTGATCATCCTTACTTTGAGTGTGATGTTCGTACTCAAAATGAGAGCACTTAGGGGGCTGGAGTCCCTATAAGGATAGATAGCTGTTGGCTGCTTGAGCAAGTAAGGTTACAGCTCAGTTTGTCCTTCTAGTAGGGCTGGTGCAAGGGGAGGGGTAAGAGTAAGGAGTACCCACCTACACTCCCTGCTTCAGGCCTATTTCCCCCCCAACAAAGGAGCTATAGGGCTGGGTGGTCTGGCTGCAGGGCCTGTGGGGGTGGGGGTCCAGGACTTCAATGGCAGCCCTGGCTCTGGCTGTGGCCTGGATCCTGGAGCTGTCCAGCCAGTTCTTCCGGCAGGTCTGGCCTCAGGGTGGGGAGTGGGCAGCAAGGTGCCCCTTATCTCCCCCAGGGCCCCAAAGCCTGCTCACCCAGCCTCCTAGCTCCTGTTCCTGCCACCACCCAGAAGGTTCTGAGCTTGGAAGGCTGAGAGCCTCAGGAAAAGGGAAGGGTATGAATGGTGTGTCTGAGCCAGAGAGCAGACTGAGTCCACCAGGCCTGTAGCTGCTGCAGGTGCAATGTGTCATAACAGGGCCTCTCCAGGGGCACACGGAGGTGTTCTATGAAGAGGTGGAAGGAGGGCGGAACTCCTGGGACAGCACTGGGGTATCCTGGATGTGGCCCTGTGTGGCTGACCCCAACCCCCAGCAGTGGCCTCCCTTGACACTCCCTTTCTCTGGTCTGCCCTGGCCTCTGGGTCTCTGTCTTTTTCTCCTGGTTTCTCCTGGCTCAGGCTTCCTGCACTTCCTGTCCACTTCTGAGTTTCTTGGTCCCCACCCCCTTTTCCCTTTACCTCCTGCTGTGTGTCTCCCTTTCTCTGGGTCTTTGTTGTTTATGATCACTTGTTCCTCTCCCCACCAGCCAGCTGTCTGTCTGTCCTTGGGTCTGGCTTTGTCTGCAGCACCTCATCTGCTGTCTCTCTATATTTCTCCTCTGGGTCTCCCCACGTTCACTCTCCTGGTCTCTTGTGTGACTCCTGCAGGGTTGGTCTTTCTGTCTCCTACTCTCCATGCTTCTATATCTCTTGTTTGTCTCCCTGGATACATCTCCCACCTGGCCTCTCTTTATTCCAGCCCTTAATTCTCCCCCTCCCCTATCTCTGTCCCAGGCCCCACCCTCTCCCTTCTCTCCCCTCTTAGTGGCAGAGCCCAGCAAGGCAGAGGTTCTAGACACCTAGGGACTGCCACCCCACTGCCCTGGGCTGGAGCCACTGCCCCAGTCAACTCCTTCCCAAACCTGAGCCCTCTGCTTGCTGCGTCCTGCCTGCATCTGTCCAGGGAGCTATGACCCCTATCTCTCACTCTGGGCAGGGTCCCAGTAGTTTGGGGGTCTAGGGAGAGGAGAGTGGACACATGCTAGTCTTTGTTCTCACCCACAGCAGTAACTCTGGGGGAGCAGTGCTCAGCCCTCTCCTGACTCCATGTAAATGAGATGCCAGTTCAGCCTCCCGCCTGCAGCAGCTGCCTGCCTGCCAGCGACGAGCTCATGGGTGCAGATATTAGGTTGTTAACCATGCAGCATACCTGCACATGTGTGCTCCTGTGCATGGCTATATATAGGGGGTGCCACCTGTGGGCCCCTATATTGGCGCCTCTGCCTCAGGAACGTTTCCAGAAAGTCCTGCATGTGCCTAGGAGCTAGGAGAGAGAAGGGACGGTGGTCCCATTCTCTCCTGGATGAATCCTTTGGGCCGCCCCTCAGATCCCTTCCCCCTCACCAGCTGCCAGCGGTCCCAGCCAGGGGCCGCCTGCTCCGCCCCCCCAGTCTGTCCCAGCTCCCAAGCCTGCTGCTGTGTTCGCCATATTTGGCCACAGTGCTCCCGCGGGGGGCGGGGCGGGGCTGGGCTGACATCACTCCAAGAAGGGGGGGCACAGCCTGGATGAGGGGAGGCAGGAAAGTTGCTTTAGAACTCTGGGCTGCCAGGACCCCTCAAGTACTGGGCTCCAGTTGCTCCCAGGGAGGCCTCAGGAGAGATCTGGAGGGAATGAGTTGAGGGACCTCATTGGGAGGGATCTTAGCACACTGCAGCCCCTCTGTTTTTTTCTGACAGCCCCATGGCAATGTCAGAGAAAGCCCTGCATCCCAACTGCTTCCATGTTGGAGTTGCTGGGTACCCCTCAGCTGGCACACCCCTGCTCCCTCACATTTCTATTCTAAGAATTCCCCTTATGACGTGAGTAGAGGGCTGGGGATCTAGATATAGTTTCCTGGGGTGAGGCCCACTCGCCATGGGGTACATATTCCTGGTGGTCTTAGAGGCTTTACAGAAAGTGCTATACAGCAGTGTGGGGGTCCTTAATGCTGGGGCTGCTTGGGCTGAGCGGGACCCTCTGGTCTAGGCCCCATGGGCATGCTCCAGGCAGTTGCTATGGCAGCTGGGCCTCCTTTCTTCTGGTGGCAGGGTTTCTCAGCCCTCTCCCCTTATCCCACAAGTTTATGAGACTTAAGCTAGATTACTTGGATTCAGAACCCAGATCTAGCACTTACTTGCTGTGTGCCTTGGGCAAGATGCTTAACTTTTCTGTTTCTGTGAAGTAGGAATAAAATAGTATCTACTCCATAAGGTTATTGTGAGGATTGAATGAGTCAATGTGTGTAAAATCCCAGAATAGTAACTGGCATATAATGGGTACTGTTCATATTAGGTCTGAATTCCAAATCTATGGCTTGGGACCCATAGCTCAGTGAGTAGGGCGCCAGCCACATACACTGAGCTGGTGGGTTGGAAGCCCAGCCCAGGCCTGCTAAACAACATTGACAACTGCAACAAAAAATAGCTGGGTGATATGGCAGGTGCCTGTAGTTACCCCAGCTACTCAGGAGGCTGAGGCAAGAGAATCACTTAAGCCTGAGAATTTGAGGTTGCTGTGCACTGTGACACCATGGCACTCTACCAAGGGCGATAAAGTAAAACTCTGTCTCTAAATAAATAAATAAATTTCAAATCTATCTTGGACATTAAGGCCAGGGGCCTTCCTGCCTATTCATTAGTGACAGCCTCAAGCCTCACCAAGCCGATGGGACCTGGAATTCATGTTCTTCTCCCTGGTTTCTTTTTTTTTTTTTTGAGACAGAGCCTCAAGCTGTCCCCCTGGGTAGAGTGCCGTGGCATCACAGCTCACTGCAACCTCCAACTCCTGGGCTCAAGTGAGTCTCCTGCCTCTGCCTCCCAAGCAGCTGGGACCACAGGCGCCCGCCACGCCTGGCTATTTTTTTTGGTTGCAGCCATCATTGTTGTTTGGCGGGTCCAGGCTGGATTCGAACCTGCCACCTTAGGTGTATGTGGCTGGCGCCTTAGCCACTTGAGCCACAGGCGCCAAGCCCTCTCCTTGGTTTCTGACAGGTTCCCCCACCTCTCTGCATCGCCCCTCTGGCCCCACTTCCTTGCTCCCCAGAGCAGAGTACTAGGATCTAGACTCCCAGAACCTTGATATACATTAGGCATATGGGTTGTGGGGCCGAAGGATTTGGGGGTGAGTCTTGGGGCTTGCATGATGGGGCACAGGCTGGGTGTGGTCTGACTTAGTATCCCAGCCTGGCAAGTGCAGGGAACGCACAGTTTACAGAGCCTTGGCCCATCCATGATGTGGGCCAGGCCAGGGGCCAGCAGGTGGGTGGTTTATGGGCTGCTGTGGGCTGGGGAGGTACGGGAACAGGAAGTGGGATGGTGGAGAGGGTGGGGTTGAGCCAGGCTATGTGGGCCAGGCACCTTCTCAGCTGCTCCCTCACTAATAATAATAATTGTTATTATTATTTCAGGGACAGTTTCTGCCCCAGGTTTAGGTTCCTTGGTATGTTCTGATCAGTTATCTGTTTGGGTGAGGTGAAGCTATACTCTTCCAGGGTTAGGGACTCACCCTCATCCCACAAGGGTTCCTCATCAGGGTTGCTTTGATGCTAGAGTGAGAATCAGGGGTAGGGTCCCTGGTCAGGGATTTGGACACCAGGGAAGAGGAGCTGAGAGAGTGAGAGTCCTAAGCCCCTCAAAGCTACAGAAACACAGCCCTGTCCCTCTGTGCCATCTCTCTTTCTCATCATGATGTCTCTGGCACCTGTATGGCCATGTGATCCTCAGTTTCCCTCTTTGAATAATGGAGATGAGTCTTTGCCTTCCCTGCTTTAGTTTTGTGAGAATTGAATTCATATGAAAATGAGGCTCGGCGCCGTGGCTAAGGCGCCAGCCACATACACCTAAGGTGGCAGGTTCAAATCCAGCCTGGACCCGCCAAACAACAATGATGGCTGCAACCAAAAAATAGCCAGGCATTGTGGCGGGTACCTGTGGTCCCAGCTACTTGGGAGGCTGAGGCAAGAGACTCGCTTGAGCCGAGAAGTTGGAGGTTGCTGTGAGCTGCCATGGCACGGCACTCTACCCAGGGGGACAGCTTGAGGCTCTGTCTCCAAAAAAAAAAATATGAAAATGAGGCATTATTAATGTAGTCATTGATCACCTGTTATAAGCCAGGCATTTAGTTGATCTCATTTAAATTTTAACCTTTGCAACCTCAGAGAAACCCTTTCCTCATTTTATAGGACCAAAGCTCAGAGAGGTAAAGTAACTCATCCAAGATCACACAGCTGTGAATGAACATAACTTCTGGTTACCTCCATCCTACCCTAGAACACCTCCCCCTGGAGTAGGGTTGGGGTGGGAGCAGAGGTCCAGAGCCAGCAGCTGGGGGATAGGAGATTGCTGTGGTCAGGGAGACCTTGGCCCTGACCCCTCTATGTCTTACCCTCAGGCTCCGGCTGCCCAGTGGGCTCAGGCCCAGAGCCCAGAGCAACCAGCACAATAGCGTCCAACAGCTGGAACGCCAGCGGCAGCCCCGGGGAGGCCCGGGAGGATGGGCCCGAGGGCCTGGACAAAGGGCTGGACAACGATGCAGAGGGCGTGTGGAGCCCGGACATCGAGCAGAGTTTCCAGGAGGCCCTGGCCATCTATCCACCCTGCGGCCGGCGCAAAATCATCCTGTCAGACGAGGGCAAGATGTATGGTGCGTGTGGGGAGGCCCAGGGACACTGGACTGACTCCCTGGCCACTCCCCCGCTCTCTGCCCCCTCACCTAACCGGTTTGGTGAAGTCCTAGAGGCCACCAGCACCTGCCTGGCAAGTCTGGGCGTGTAAGCCTATGTGTCTGGATCCTCATCCACCTGCCTCCTCATAAACAAGCCCGGCCTACCCCCTACCAGAGTGCAGCCCATACCTCTGCACTCCCGCCTGTCCTTCTGTCTTCCCCTCCATTGGCCTGGAGGTTTTGGGCTGACTCAGTGGACCTAGGAAACTGGGTCAGACCAATGTGCTCCAGGCGAGGCCTGGTGGAGGGTCCCTTCCTGGGAGGATGTGGGAAGGGGCCTGAGGGGTAAGTCCTGGGGAGGGTTCCTACATGGTACCTTCCAGTGTAGGGAGGAGGTCACTCTGTGACAACTACCTGTGTTGGGAAGAGGGCTGGAGGGATGTGGGGATACATTCATTCCTCAGACTCCCTCCCCCTGTCTCAGCAGTTTCCCTGGCCTCTCTGCCATCTTGCCTGCCTCCAGAATGGAGTGTCCCTTCCTGTCTAGCCCTGAGAAGTCTTTCCCAGAGCTGCATTTTGGGATAGCTCAATCCTTCTCAGCCTGATTCCTTGCCAGCTACCCCCAAACTTCCCTAGCAGCCCCTGGCTGAGTGAGGCAGGTCGGCAGCTTTTCCCTCCAGCACCCAGACCATGGTGGGTGTGGGGAGTAGCATGGGCTGCCTGTGTCCCTTGGCCCCACCCTTCTGCCACACCCACCCTCAGCCCCAGAGCCCCAATGGGGCAGGCAATTGTTCCAGGGTGCTCCATGGGGTGGGGGCCATCTGCCCCAACTACTACCTTCCAGATGGCTGGGGCAGCCCCACAGGGTATTTTTAGCCAGGGTGGAGAGAGTGGGGTGGAGGGGGCCAGCAGGAAGGGAGGAGCTGTGGGGCTGGTTCTGTCATCTGAGAGGAATTTGGAGAATTTGGCCAATCTGGGGAGGCCATGGGGCTGGGGGACAGAGGGCCTGGATTTGGGGGTTAGAGGTGTATACCCTGAGGATGCTGACATATGAAAGTACCCCTGCCTTGGACACTAGCCAGCTTCTGGCCCATCAGAGGGGTCCATGGTGCTAAGTAGAGCCCCCACCCTAAGGCTGACAAGGTTCTTCCTCACTGGGCGGGAACATGACTGGTAACCCGTGACATAGGAGCAACAGGCATAGGACATGATAACATGCTTAGTGACAAATCTTGACACAGTGTAGCAGGCATGTTAGAAGCTGTTGGTTCCTCCTTCCTGTCCTTCCTGGTCTTCCCTTACCAGAGAAGGAAAGAGACTTGTCCACGATTTCCCCCATGGCAAGGATAGACAGAGCTAGGACAGGAGCCTAGTCTGATCTCTTCCAGACTTGCATGGAGGATGCATATGAGATGTCCACCACCTCATTCACACACGTACCCCAAATACACACACTTAGAGCTTTGGAGCCTGTGATAAGGGAGGGCAGCACTTCTGGGGGCTGGCATGGCAGGTTGCCATGCTGGGACAGGCCCTGCTGGCCACTGTCCTGCCGACCTGCACCACCCTCACCCTGTCTTTCTGCAGGGAAGCTTGCCAGGGTGCTTGGCACTGCTCACCCCCACTTCTTCCTACCCTGCAGCGCCCCCAGCCACCTTTGCCTGCCCTGCTATGAATTTGGGGGCATTTGGAGTAAAGAGAGCGGGAAGGGGTCAATATTTGGGGGAGGGTCCCATGGTGGCTTTCCTGTAGGGTAAGGGGTCTCCTGCCTCTAGCCTCGCCACCCTTTGCCCAGTCCTCCTTTGTTCTTATTCCAATCTAGGTCGAAATGAGTTGATCGCACGCTACATTAAATTGAGGACAGGGAAGACTCGGACGAGAAAACAGGTAGAGACATTTTATGCTGAGTCCCTCTGCCCACACACACTCCCCTAGCTGCTGTTCAGCCCCTTTCTCCCACCCTCCAGGGCCTGTTCTGCCCTGCTGAGCTTCTTAGAGATACCCTCACCCATCCTGACACGCCCCTAGCCTCCCTCTCCTGGCCACTTCACACACTCCCCAGCAGCTCCATTTACTCTTTCCACTTTTCTTGGAGAGATGGGGCTGCTGGTACTCCTGTGTGGGCCCTGCCCTGAATGGCCCACTGACCAGCCAGGGAGCCAGATGGTCCCAGAGAGAGAGGATATGTGCAGGGTGCTGTCTGGACAGGGCCTTCAGGGCCAGGAAGGCTTCCTGAAGAAGATGACAATTGAGGGGGCATTTTTTTTGTTTGTTTTTTTGAGACAGAGTCTCGCTTTATTGCCCTTGGTAGAGTGCCATGGTATCACACAGTTAACCTCCAACTCCTGGGCTTAGGTGATTATCTTGCCTCAGCCTCCTGGGACTACAGGTGCCAGCCACAACGCCCAGCTATTTTTTTTGTTGCAGTTTGGCTGGAGCCAGGTTTGAACCTGCCACCCTTGGTATATGGGGCTGGCGCCCTACTCACTAAGCCACAGGAACCGCCCAATCAAGGGGCATTTTAAAAAGGGGATGGGAATTAGGCAGAGAAGAGGGAGAGGATCCTTCCTTCCAAGGTGAGGAAGATGGATATATAAATAATAATAAACTCATGCTGAGCTTACTGTATATTAATTTATTTAATTCTTTCAGCATCCTTCTAAGTAATTATCTTCCTTTTACTAATGAGGAAACTGAGCATGGGGAAGTTAAGTAACTTCCTCAAGGTCCCTCAGCTGCTAGGTGGTAGATTCAGGATTCAACCCAATGGGTGGGAGAGAACCATCTGATCAGTTAGTGGCAGGGAGTTTACCTCCCAGCCTTTGTTCCTCAGCCATTAAATTAACTGTGCAAAAACACTGAGAACAGAGTAAGTGCTATATAAGAATTTGCTGCTGCTATTATTATTATTACTGTCATCATTAGAAACAGAAAGCTATCCTGAGCTCAGAAGGGAAATCTGAAGGAGTCAGCCTTCACGGAAAAGACGTGTTCATAGGAACCTGTTCTCACAGTGGGTAGCGGCCAGGGATCATGGCCCTTGGTTACTTTGAACCTAGATGGGGGCAGCAGAGGTGAGGCACATCCCTGCCTCTTAGTTCTGGGTCCACCATTATATCAGTCCCCATATAGCCTCCTGAGAGGAGGACAATTGCCTGGACAATGAGCTTTTCCAAACCTGCCACTGACAAGCTCAGAATTTTTAAAACCACTGGCCTTAATCATTTTGTAAGGGTGGGGCTCCCTCTAACTTTGTCCTTTCTTTGAACTCTAGGTTTTGATATCTAATGTCCCCTTAAAAGAGGACTTTATCCTATGGTTGAGAGGTCAAGACATGTCTTTATATGTTTTAAAGAGCAACTGGTCGTTTTTTATGTGGCATTTTACTTTTGGCAAAGTACCTAGTACTACAGGCACAGTTTTAGTTGTTTTTTGTTTTTTTTGTTTTTTTTTTTTTTTTGAGACAGGAGCCTCAAGCTAGCCCCCTGGGTAGAATGCTATGGCATCTCAGCTCACAGCAACCTCCCACTCCTGGGCTCAAGCGAGTCTCCTGCCTCCGCCTCCCAAGTAGCTGGGACCACAGGCGCCTGTCACAACACCCAGCTATGTTTTTTTTGGTTGCAGCTGTCATTGTTGTTTGGTGGGCCCGGGCTGGATTCGAACCTGCCACCTTGGGTATATGTGGCTGGCGCCTTAGCCACTTGAGCCACAGGCGCTGAGCCCAGTTTTAGTTTTTTATAGATACACACAGTAACTGACAGCAAGTACAGTGCCTCCACATGTTGACAAAAACAGCTAAATATTAAATTGGGATAAAGTTCTATGTGACTTTGAACTGTCAGAGAGTCAACCATTTGGGGGTGGTCCTCTGTGCTAAGGGTGCAAACAAGTGATGATAGCATAGCTTGGTGGTGAAGCAAGTGGGCTCTGAAGTCAGACCTCCTAGGTAGAATCCCAGCTGTAGCATCTAGCTGTGTGAGACCTTAGATAAGTCACTTAGCCCCTCTGTTTTGGTTTTATATCCTATAAGTCAGGGAAATTATAATAATACATACTTCGCTTTGCTATAAAGATCAGATGAGTGGGTATGTGTAGAGTATTGAGAACAATAGTAACTATGTTTGGTAAACATCAGTTACTGTGTCCAGTATGAAGTGACTGGTAATTTTGCTGGACATGTCTGATTCCTGGGTGGGGAAAGGCAGCATGAGGGGCACCCACCTAGATACCCAGGGAAGTGTCAGGGGCTGCCCAGCATCACACGCTTCGTAGCTTTTAAGCTGTGATTTTTTTTTTTGTTTGAGACAGAGCCTCAAGCTATCCCCCTGGGTAGAGTGCAGTGACTTCACAACTCACAGCAACCTCCAACTCCTGGGCTCAAGCGAGTCCTCTGCCTCAGCCTCCCAAGTAGCTGGGACCACAGGCGCCCGCCACAA